TGTCGAATTGCAATGAATTAGAGCATTACAGTGAAATAAATGGCTGATCTGGAATCGAAGCTGTTGGATGGCGAGAATGTAGGATATTGTAGTAGTAGTGATAACGACGAGGAAGATATCGTGAAGAAGTGTGTCGACGATAACGACAGCAATTACAACGAACCGTCGTCGCACTCTCAACTGAAGGGTATGCGTAATACTGGACCGAAGGGTGTTCTCGATGACTGGAGATTGTTTAAAAGTGAACAGCACAAACAGGAAATCCAAAAGCAACAACGGGTTCGTTTAGAATTATTTGAATGAATTGCTGAAAGTGAGACTGAAATGTTCTTCTGGGAGGAGGTCTTATAGTCGTCGCCTTAATTATATGTTAGCTGGCAGTTGATGATGCCATTGATTGTAGCAGTGATGTGCAAGGGATCTCCCACTTATGAGTTAAAATCTGAACTTTGAAGTAAGAAATCAGGCAGGTGCGACTTCTTGTAAAAAGACAAATTTATTGTTCATTTCATAAATTATTTTCGGCCTATTTGATTTCAGTACTATTTGAACAATTGTACCTATGCACTCATTATATGATAAACTGTATTTATACACGCACAATCGCTGTATTTATACATCCCCAATTGAATTATATGTAAGATTGAATAGTTATGCTTTGTATTATTTAATGAATGTTTCATCTCGATTTCTAGATAGTAGCAGAAGCGAAACGCGGTATGCTAAGTGGTGGCAGCAATACAGACAATAGAGAATCAGATGATGATCTAGAGAGAATCAGACAAGAACGACTGGAACAATTGAAGAATACGATTACCTCTAAACAGAAGGTCATTTATTACATTATTATATTTACTATTAGTTTTTTGGTGTAATCAATCAGATTTTCATAAATTTGAAAATTTCAATGCAAAAATCTGTAAAGAAACAAAATAAAATGAAATTTGAGATGTTAAAAATAAGATACGAAACAACTGATTATTGAGATTTTATTCATTTTTGCATAGCTCATTGATATTGCTTAGCAATTGTCGTCGAAGAAAATTTTTGACGAAATTCTAATGATCTGTATAATGCATTTCATATTTGTTTAATTTGTGAAACGAATTGTTTTGTTCGTCGTTAGTTTTGCAAATTGTGTTTGTAAGAGGGCATTCGTAAAAATTTTTGATTAACGAATGACAGCAAAGATTACAATATGGATTACAAAGATTTTTCGAGTGGATTATTATGTTGAGATTCGAAATGATCATTATGAAACGATGATTGAAATTCAGGTGATTGAATTACAATCGAAAGAACAATTCTTGACGGCCATTGAAAAGTGTCGAAACACTTTATTGTTGATTCATATCTATGAGGATGCAGTCGATGCGTGCTCTACGCTGAATTCAGTTTTTTACACGTTCGCAAGCAAGTACTCTCATCTGAAACTTGCTCGAGTCAAGTCGTCCATACTGAAAACATCGCAAAATTTCGTTAGTGAAGTTTTATTTTATTGTCATTAGAATGAATAGTGACGTTGTCGAGATAGGATAACGTTCATCAATATTGAGCAGTTTTAATTTATAGTTAACGGCAGCAATTTCTGAAACTTTCATTGCTTTTTAGCAAATACTTCGAAATTTATATTTTCTGCCTTTTTCTGGTAAAAATACAGATTTGTTGATTCGATTTATGGTTTGTTGAGTAGCGAGTTTGATGTGAAGAAATGGAATTGTGATTCGCAATGAATCTGGAGCGTAATTAATTCACTGACTGAAATGAGTTGAAGTTTTTGGAAGAATTATCCGAGCAAATGGAAATGTTTTTGTATTTCAAAGACAAAAAAGATAAAGCAGATTTCAAAGACAAAAATCTGCTTTATTCACTTCTAAATTATTTCATTTTAGACTCTGAATGCATTGCCGACATTACAAGTGTATTACAACGATGTGTTAGTTGGGAATTTTGTACGAATTACTGATCAGATTGGTGAAGATTTTGATGTCGAGAAAGTTATTTCATTCCTTTACCAGTTAGTCGTTTGTATTCATTATCATTGGTTGATATTCGTCTTTTGAAAGAAAAACACTGCAAGCGTGGAATGTACATTCAACTTAAGTTAATTCCCTTATATTATTGTTCATATCTTCATAAGATTTGTATCTTCATTCACCTCATGAACAGCCAGTTAATCATTAATCTAATTGTGCAAATGATGTGAGGCTAAATTATTTCGATTTCGCTAGTGTTTCGATGAAATAGTCGTGCAATTGAAAATTTCAAAGTAAATGGCTGCCCCAAATGTTTGAAAAGAATAAAAGTTATGAAAATAATGAATAGATAATTCAGAAATGATATCGATTTGGAATTGAATACGAAACGACAAAATGCAGATGATTCTGAATCTGATGACGATAATGATGATTCGGCATGAATGTGTGTGTGTCACCTGTTTATGTGATCAATCAGCGATCGATCGCAGTAACTCGCTTAGAGTGCAATATGCTTTTCACTTGTGTATTATCACCGATAATGCCACATTTTTTATACATTGCCGTCCTTCTTTGCAAACAGCTAATCATATCACTCTTACATCTTCGCAGATTTTGTCTTAACCGCTCATTCAGCAATCTCAATTGTATTACACAGCTATTATTTGAATTCACCCAATAATTTCATGGGATAAATAATAATTACGCATAGAATCAGTTGATAGTTGGAGATTATCCACAGTTTCAAGTGGTACTGAATAATGATTTGCTAATTATTGAAATCATTGTTTCTGCAATCACTTCAGCATAATACTTGTTAGTCATAGCGTTTTGATCTCGTTTTGATTCATTTATTTGGTATGGTTTTTCGTTTATTACTTTACTTAAATCATCATTAACATTTAATTATATTCAGTCGATTCATTATATCGTTTCAAAGGGGCGAAGGGTGGGGAAATCCCATAATTCTTTTTAAAATTAAAATAAGTTTTGAAAAATTCATCGAATTTAATGGATCGTTGACTTTGGATTTCTTAATAGCTCTTTCCCAAACAATCAGTTAAGTAATCCATCTGTTGGTTTATGCAAAGATGTCTCCGAATGTTCTGTGCATTCTTTTAGATATGGAATATCAGCCAAGAAAATGGTTTCATTGAGAAGTGATATCACTGAGTAGTCATAGTGTGTGAACATCATATTATTGTTTGAAAAGGTTCTGTAAAAGTTATGATATGTACTCATAAATACATATTATGTTCGGTATATTCCATGTTTGACTATCTTACATTTGAACCATTATTTGATTTTTCGATTCCCGTTCACGGAGGAAGGTTTTGCTCGAAACCGAGTGGTGTACCAATA